ATTGGCCAGATGTCCACCAGACTGTGCCATTTTGTTTCAGAACTCTGGAACTGGTATAAATCAGTCCCAATTCACTTCTAAACAATTCATTTTGCTTTTCAGGAGTTGGTCAAAGTGGCTGATTTGTGCATCTTCTTTTTCACTTCAGCTCAGTTTATATACAGCCCTGCAATATRGTTCCCATGGTGCAACAGTTATAGGTGGCACCAATTTTTCCAAGCAGATGATATGGTCATACCCCAGTACTCACAAACTATGGCACATATGGGGGGGGGGGGTGGAGCAGGTATAACATTGCAATTAAAACGGCATCTCTTCTAAATGCCATATCATTTTCAGTTAAAAATATACCACTACAGCATGAGTCCAGCCTGGACATATTCTCATCCAAACGCTTTTCTCACAAGRTCCAGCAATTTCTATGTGATAATCTCATATATGTCAAAGACAGTTTTCTATGGATTTTGATATGATTCATGGGGAAAGAAGTACAGTCAATCCATGGAGAGGGGGAAACAGCAATGCAGACTTAGGAGGCCAGCCACCACTCACCCCCCCCCCCCACACACACACACACATGTTTAAAAAGTCCAAAAGAGGTGCCATTGTGGAGAGATTAGAGGGGGCCTGGACTTCTTTAAGGTTACCTCAATTAAGCAGTTAGAATCATGGAATCACAGAGTTAGAAGACACCACAGGGACCATCTAGTCCAGCTCCAACTTTTTTGACTTACACAGGGTTTGCTGCTCTTGAAAGGAGGTAATTTATTCAGAGGAAATACCATCAGAAATCAGTTATTCTTAAAGCAGTCAGTTCGCTACACATGTTAAAATCATTTAAACTCTTATTGCTGTTAGTCCTTCAATGTATGTGTGATTTTCTGGGCATTGTAAGGAAAAAGGAGACAAACACTTTAAGGAACTTGCCATTTTGGTTTTGACAATGGTAAAGACAAGGAAAAGAAGGCATAAAGGAAATTGAGATATACAGATAAAAGGATATGTTCTATATCAAATAAGCCTCAGGGTGACAAGATACAAGCGGAAAGGGGCCTTTGATCTATTCTAGAAGTTGTGTAGTTAAAATGGAAATTGGTGAGAGACAGCATGGGTAGTGGTTTGAGGTTTGGACTACATCTCTGGAGAACAGCTTTTCAATCACTGATCAGTGTGGAAACCCACTGGATGACCTTGAACAACCCACATTCTCTCAGGAGGAGGCAAAGACAAACACTTCTGAACAAATCTTGCCAATAAAACATCATAATGTCAAATAATAACAACATATGCTGCATAGCTATTAAATGACCATATTCCCTGCCCTCTTTGGTCATCCTAGTAAGCAGAGCTTTTAAAAGCCTTCCTATGAGGTGACTTCTTTTCATCCAAAAAGCAATTGTTTGGTTAATATATCATTAAATAAGGCACGTGCCTACTTAGATTTTTTTTAATGGCTTGCATATATTTATATTTGTATGAAGCATTTGAGAATGCTAATGTTCATGTAATGCAAACATTTCATCCATTTTGAGCCATTATATTTCTCTGTACTTCCAATTACATTCTCTGTAAGTACACTCTACACAAGACAAATTATTATGTAAATGTATTTGCAGTTCAGGATTGTGCTAAATAATTGCTAACAGAAATGTATTATTTAGCTGCAGGCTATCTTGCTACATTAGAATTAAAAAGTAACTGTTGCTATTTCAGCAATGGCAAAAATCACCAGGCTGATGTCAACATCAGTTGGCTTGCCTTTATCATGGTTTCAAAGTAAATTTACATCTCAACCCTGCTTGCTGGTAGAAGGAAAGTTATTTATTTATAGTATGATAGAAATTACCACAACGATTATTAGTTTAATGACATGGAAAAAAGTATTAAGTTGGTTTTGATTTTTTTTTAAAAAAAACTACATTTATGTGGATATTGGGTTGCCATTTTATTATACTTAGAATAACATTGTTTGTGAAAACCAGATGATAAATTAACCAGTGAGTGATATCAATCAAAACTCCCAATAAGATAAAACAAGTCTTGTTTATCTACCTATAAATAACATTGATACACATAATTGTAAATGCCACAAATGGCAAGCACTATCTCTCCAAGACAACATTTCTCCAGCACAGAATGCTTTTCTAATTGAATGTGTGCTACAATTCCACTGGGAAAGAGAAATGGTGCCTTAAAATCAACCAAAACTGTGTATAATCCTAACCATTTCAGATATCTGAAGAATCTATGTCACCATTAGCAATGCGCTAGAAACCGCCAATGCTAAAACCAAATGTATCTACTGCTGAATATTATGGGAGGTTACCAAAGCATGTTGGAATATTACTGAGATCACAGGAGGTTTTTGAATTTATAGTCCATTTTTGCACACTTCTAACACACAATTATTAAATACTACATGCATACAAACTGAAAACTGGTATTTATACATTGTGGTTGGGCAGAGAGTTGCTGGACTGTAATTTCCAGTAGCCTGAGCCACTTGGAATATTAGAAGCTGGGGTTTAAATGCCTAAAATAACAGTAAAACCTGGAATTTTAGGCCAGGTGATACTGTAATTTACTAAGTCATTGCTCTATTATGATATGTGCTAACAATTAAAGGAATAAGAATGACACCTGGAGAACATTCATTAGTATACTTCATTAGTGGAAAAATAGACAGTTTTAAAGGTTGTTGATGCAAGTCTTTCCTAAATCAACATTCTTGCTTCACATTTAGCTACAAAGGGAGTAGAATCACTATATGGATTCTTTCCAATCTAGATTTTGGCAAAACTTTGACACCTAGTGCTCATCTACACCAAACTGTTTCATCCAGTGGAACAGCCCCAGACCTGGCATTGACTGTTCACATGACTGGAGAGGGCATCTGCTCACCCGAAATGACATACACCTCATCTCCATGTTGCCATTAGCACTATTTCTATCTGGCCATGGTCTCCAGCAAATCCTAGCCATTACAAGAGTGCCTATGCAACCAGCACAAAGGAAGGGGGATTTCCCATCTTCTGCCACAGATGCCCTATTTGGCACAATCACGAAGAAGGAGGGGAGTTCACCTTGTCACTTGGGTGCTTCTACTGATGTGAAATAGCTGGTTAATGAGAGTACAGAGAGAGCGAAGGTGTCAGTATCTAATGTAGACAGTGTATTGGGCCAAATTAGACCCAAACTAACAGTCCAGGCTGCCTCAAAGCCAGAGGATTCTCAGGAGTTTCGAGAAAACTCTGTAGTATTCCCTAACTTTGTCTGCAAATTTGTTTTAAAGCAGAAAATGGGGGTATTCACAAGAGGTTGAAGTATAAATCAAATAAATTTGGGGGGAGGGGCTTGATAGTGTAAACAAGCCTAAAGGTGTTCTGGTTGCTTTGATGGTTGATTCTTGAAAAATTGATGTCAAGAAAAATAATGATCTACGCATTCTACTTGACTTCCCTGTGGTTTTTGATACACTTGACTTTGGTATCCTCTGAAATTTCTGCCTAGGAATGGCCTGGATTCCAACTGATCTGAAACAATTGATCTGAAAGCTGTTGCTTGCAGGCCCTGTTTGACCAATTAGTTACTGGCCTTAATATTTTATCCTGTATTATATATTATTTTATATCTACATGAAAGAATTACAAAAGTTCATCTATATACAAATCATGCCTTGTATAATCCCACAGAAATTAGCTTGAAAGTTCCATATTGTTGCACAGTTATTGATTCTGTTCCTCAGAAATAAATGCCACTGAGGTCAGTAGGATTTACTCTCAGGTGCATGGAGTCAAATAGAGGGCAGCTAAAGTGGATGTACTATTAAGTAAATATATATGTATGAGTATATTGTTAATATACTTTAGTATTATATCTAAACCATATTCACACATTCTCACTCCCCTGAAAAAAGGATAATAAAAATTGTCTCTCTGTTCCATAGCCATGAATCATTGAAATTTTCTCTGCTGAAAAGGACTATGAAATTAATTCTAAACACATGACTGTTTAATTCTACTTGATGATTACTACATCACTAATCAAACTGAAAACCATCCAGAATGTAAAGATATGATTACTGCTTTTCTGAGATTAAAAAAAGCCTAAATATTAATCAGACCTTAAGGACAAATCTTTAGCTATTCTCAAAACTCCTAATGAAGCACCTGCATTTTGCAAGGAGGAAAATAATAATTATTAAAGCCTATGAGTTACAGAAGGTGCTCTGATTACCCAAAGATTTTTTTCTTCAGTCTCCTGTAATCAAGTTAATTATTGCATGCAATAACTCCTATAAGGATCACACTATATTTAACAAAGTAGGCCTTATGCAGGAGTGCTTATTAATTATCACAGCTCCTTTCAAAACTCTATAGCTTGTTAATATTTCATTCTTTAAGGAAATGTCTGCTACTTCAAAAAAATTACAATCAGTTCTGTTGCCTAAGTTAAATTTTAGTTTCATTGTAAAAAAGAGACCTCAGCATGACTCCTTCTCTGGAAAGAACTGGAAAATTGTGTCTCTCAAGGTGATGTGGGACTTCACACTCAAAAGAAACTTCTAAATGTTAAGGAAACATGCACTTCAGTCTCAGTTTCAGGAATGCATCCTAGCAGTCAATTAAATGTTTGTACAGATAGGTGCATTTTTTTCTATGGCTGTTACAAACTCCTAATATATATATATGGTAAGCATCCAAGACACATTGCCTACATTTCATGTGGCAAAATGTTATAGCTGTCTATAAGCAAAAGCTAGATAAGGACAATGTCCTGCTGAATAGTCATAGATGATTCTTCATGTCATTTTGATTGACAATAATGTGTGCCTACTGCGACAGAGAGGTTAAGGGAATGTTCTAAAACATTTCCATGCACCCATTCAGAAAGGTTATTCATAATGCATAAATGCTTTCATAAAAGCATTCTAAAAGCTTACAGGCCATATGTTATCATCAGATCTGCCAAATGGGTGGCAGAAACAGTAATTTACTCACCTGTTTATTGTACTTGGCAGCTGTCTCTCTGCTTAATTAAGGATTTACTGGTAAGCTTCCATCCTCTGAAGAAATTTTAGTCTCAAGGTGCACGCACATATCTTTCAAGCCTCCCAAAGAGAGTATTTGTTTCCTACAACAGAAAAACAAGAGTGGTTTTTACTGTGCTTTGGTCCATTGTATGTCTGTATACACACTGTGCAAGTATCTAAGACCTGGGGTTAATATGCCAACCATGGGAGCCACAGCACCATCCAGATGTTTCTATTGCTTAGCACTCACCAAGGTCCCCTGCCCTTTTTAAGTAACAAAAACAGATGTTTTTTTTAAAGCCAGGGCATAAGCCATTTTGCTATTTCCTTTCCTTGGGGTGTATCTTGGCCTTAAGAAAAGTTAGATCTGTAGGGAGAGAGATGTAGGTTGCTGCTGTACTTCCCAAAGTTTGGCTCAACTGTTGCTCTTGTGACAATGTTTGTCACTGTTAGTCTCCAACATTCATCAATGCTAGGTAAAATGAAGGGCAGAAGGGGTTGGGGACATTCCATTTTCATTTTGGAGCATATCTAATTAAAACATCCAGAATGCCAATATATAGGACTTCATCAGTTTTATCCTAAGAATTCATGTGTTATCAGTGATTTAGTTCATAACGCTCACATAAACATATTCTAAATGTGGGAAGTGATAACAGTTTAAAGCTAAAAGGAAAAATGTAATTACAACCCAAAAGCAAAGAATTTCAGACACAGACCAACCCTTCATTCATACTTATTCTGAACATGAACACATGTCTTCAAACTAGTGCCATCATACAGATAAAAGTTGATGAGTCAACTCAACATTCATCTCTGCTTATGCTGTTAATAGCATGCTGACAATGGAAACTCACAGGGGGAAGACTACACTGACAACCAGTTTCTTGATCCAGCATTTCAACTATGCTGGAACTCATAGCTAAGGAAGGCTCATCTAGCACAGTGTACTCAAAGACTTGGTTACTTAAAAAATCATTCTAGTGCTTGCTTGCTTGTTTGTTTGTTTATTTATTATTCGGGACAAACAAATAGAGAATAACATGGACCACTTTTCCTCATGAGGAAGTTTAGAAGATAACATAGGCGACTTTTATTGTACATATATTTTAACAATTTAAAAAAACTGAGATTAAAAATTTCATATGTAATTGCTCTTGTCCCCTACTTATATCCATCCCTTTTCCACTATTTTCCCCTCTCCCTTCCTCTCTCATACACCCCTTCCCTCCAGAAGAAATTGTACATTTCCTTTATCATTCATTCTGTTTGTTGGATTGTAAGGATAGTCTGGTTTAATTTCTTATGTTTTCTGTTGCCCTTTGCCTTGGCTATCAGTTTTCCCCATTTCTCTTCCCATTTCCCCCCTGGAGTATCCAATGGTATATTTATTTTTTCCCATCCATGATGTAATCTTGAAGCATATAGTCTGCTAAATATTCGTACCATTTTTGTATAGCCCATTTTTTATGTTCTTTCCATCCCAGGGCCCCCAGTGGTTCAATGGGTTAAACCTTTGTGCCGGTAGGACTGAAGACTGACAGGTCAGAGATTTGAATCCAGGAAGAGGGCAACTGAGCTCCCTCTGTCAGCTCCAGCTCCCCATGCGGGACATGAGAGATGCCTCCCACAAGTATGGTAAAACATCAAAACACCCGGGAGTTTGTTGTATATGAATCCCATGATTCTTTTCCCATTCTCAGCTTTCCATTGTAATATTTGATCTGCAGCTGTCCCAGGACTTTCCTTCTTTTTCCACTGTGTGATCTTTTGTGACATTCTGTGCCATAACAATCAATTGCTTGGCCCACATTTGTCTCTTAACTTCCCCCAGTCTTTTGTTGTTCCATTCAAATTTTAAAGATTCCCTATTTTTGTTATACAATTTTTATTTAATTCACTGCCACTTTCTCATATATCTGTTCTTTTTATTATCTAATATTCCTATTGGAAGTCTATTTTGTTCAATGGGAGTTTGTTATGCCATTTTTTCCAAAATCCTGATGTCGAAAATAGTGGGCTTCCTTTTATTTTAGGTACAAGGGCATGTGGTCCCACTGTTACACATTTTATGGGGAGAATTTAATATTCACTACCACAAAATAATCTAGAGTGGTGAATTTATTGTATCTCAAGAGAAAATATATGGCGGGATCAACTCTTTCTCCTAATTTCTCCTAATTGATTTCCCTAATATTCCATTTTTTCAGATTTTTCAGTTTTGTATTGGGGTCAGCTACTAGGTTGCCTTTTCCTGATTTATTTTTAAGTTTGAATAATTCCAGATTCAAGTGCCCTCCGATATTATGTCCCCCTTCACCTCCATGTCAATTTTCCTAAGAGTTTTATAATGAATCTTTTTTGCTTCTGACTTGGGACATAAACACCACTTATCAAGATGTTAACATTATTAACCTTCCCTATTATCATTATAAACCTACTCTCTACATCCCCTATTACTTTCCTATTTCTAAATTTTATAAGGACAGCAACTCTTTGAGATTTTTCAAGAACTTTGATTTTATCTGAGTTTCCCACTTTTTAAAATTAAGCAATTAATAGTATCCTTCCTTTTGTGTGTTTCCTGCAGAAAAACAATGTGGATTTCTAATTGATTTAGCGATTTCTCTAGTTTTTTGTTTCTTCAATAACACGCCAAGAACATATAAGTTAACTGACATTATGTTTAATTATCCCATCTATATTTATTTCTATTTATTTGTTCCTTTATTACTCTATTCTTGATATCATTTCCCTTTGTATTAAGACTGTTCTCACCTGTTCCCCCCCCCCCCTTTTCTCGCTGTCAATTTCTCACCAATTCTTTTGGGAGGAATGGCTGAGAAATTGTATCTCTCCATCTATCAGAAACTAACCTGGGGTTGTGCTAACCCTCTTTGCCCCCCCCCTTTGACCCTATATGTCAGTTCCCCTTTCAAGAACTCCTCAAGTGCTTGGGTCTTAATTCCTAAATGCACCCTATTATTTGGCAAAATACCAAAACACAATCCACTACTACCCCTTTACTTTAGGCTCTTGTTGACATACCTTAGACTTTTTGTATCTACTATCTTATTTGCACTATACTGAATGGACCCAGTGGTATGGCTACTGGGAACCCCCATGAAAATCTTATTCCAGCTACAGTCAGTTTTCTGGTGATCTGTCACATGGCTTCTCTCTCTTATTTCCTTCGCCAATTTTTACCTTCCTTAAATTTTAAGATTGTCCTCAGTTTCTTAAAGACAAAACCCTTGTTGTTTTCCTTGAGAAAGTCAACATAATGTCTTCCCGAGTACCTTTTTGAGCCGACTTGAAGGGGGATAATGTGTGCACTCTTTCAAAATCCATCTCTGACAGCTGAATGTCCTGCTCCGATAGCCATTACAAGATAACACTAATTAAGTCATTATTTTTAATTGTATCTGGGAAGCCTTTGATTGACCCAAATTTCTCCATCTATATCTGTTCTCCAAGTCAGTTAATTTATATCATAATGTGTCTACTTCAGTTTCCAGGCAAAAATCTTCTTCTCATTCCTATCCCCTTTTAATTTCATTTCCAAAATTTTTGAATTTGAGTCTTTGACTTCCATGTCAATTCTTTCAAAGACAAATCTAAATCTGTCATTAACTTCAATAGATGGTCCAGTTTTTCATCAAGGGACATATTTTGAGATTCTCCTGGCTCCATGATTTATGATCTCAAGTTCCTTTGGATGCCTCCTCTGGAGCTTCAACAGCAGTTTCAGCTATTAATCTTCTGGCTTATCTCTGCTTTCAGTCAATATTTTTTGCTCTCAATCTAGCAAAGAGGCAAACTTGCCTTTTTTCCACCTGAGAGCCAACCATTTTTACAGGGAATTAATTAGCTTAATTAACTTATGGAGGGTTACTGAGGCATGTCTAGCACTGCAGTCATCTCATGCTGCCCCCTCCTCCCCGACCAAGTCATTCTAGTGCTCACTGAATATTTCGGTAACTTCTGGCTGTAATGCTTTCAATTGTCTTGCATTTTATTGTGATTAAATTTTTCTCTGTGGTTCGGTTTTGTACCATTGTTGTTAAATCACTTTTTCATGAAATACCTTGGATACCCTTCAGTCAAAAAGTGTAAGGTAGAGAATAAACATACAAGCAAACAAGCAATAGGGCCTGAATGTCAACGTTTCGTTGCCAGAGTGGTGAATTTACAGATTATATCATAAACTGAAAGAAAATCTCAAAAGGAAAAGGAGAGTGAAGAAAAAGGAAGATTACATAGCTAACTGAATGAATGGAAACAACTATATATAATTATATCTTGCCTTTTTTCCAGTCTGGGACTCAAGGCCACTATGTCAAAACATATAAAATAAAATAATCTACACCATATAAAAGGTAATCTTATAATTAAACTATCAATAAATTAAAAAGCAATGAAAGGCAAACAATTATAAATAAGAATAAAATAATACACCACACTCATAAAAGACAGCTCTTTTCCTCCCCACAAATAGATAGCAAGTAGGGTGGCAGTCAGACGTCTCTGAGAAGTGAATTTCAGAATCTAGAAGCACCCACCAATGTCCCTTCTACACCACAATATAATATCCAACTTATCCGCTTTGAACTTGATTATATAGCAGTACAGACTCATATAATCCAGTTCAAATCAGATAATCTGAATTATCTGATTTGATAATATAGATTATACAGCAGTGTAGAAGGGGCCCAAGAAGGCCCTCTCCCATCTTCCCACTTAAACTTAAACATTCTTCTCGGTGCCCAAACCCTTCCTCAAACTGATAACTTCGTGAACAGAGGATGGAGAAAGAGGGATATATATTGATATGTATTAATCCTTTGCTGAACACTGAATTCTGGCTGAAAGAAGCATTCATTATCCCATGGTCACTTCTAATTATGAAATTGTAGAATTCTGGGAAATGCAGTTTAGGGCAGGGCCTTTTGAATTCTTCACTACAGAGGTCCTTACCTTGCCAAACTACATTTCCCAGAAACCTGCAGCAACAGAAATGAGGGGGTGCATGCTTTAAAGCCCTAGTGTGATAATGTGGAAAGTTTCACGTAAGCTGCACAGACGAACATTAGTCCCTCCA